ATCTATCAAATGACATATTATATAATGTTGTGTTCTGAACAGAATATCGTCAATTTCACTCATAGTACAGGATTCGTTCCAATGGGAAAGTTAATGATTATCATGGATGAATTTGCAACGGCTTTTGTCGCATAGTTAGAAAGCCAGGAAAATTTTGAGAGGCAAGTGAATTTGTCTACTTTTTGCATGTTATTAGTCTATTCTTTGGTGCATTATTTAATAAAATAAAAATTATTAAGTGCATTACTATCTATAGTATAAAAAATTAGGGTTAACTCTTATCGAAAACCTGAGAGCAAGAAAAAAGAAGATTGGGTAAGTACTCTATTTCTTGTCTTTCATATTTATTATTTATTTATTATTATAAAGGTAACTAAAATCTAAAAATATGGATCTTTTTCAGTTATTTAAGACTAGATTAGGTAAAATAAATAATAATATAATTAAAATGGTTCACGAGGCACAACTTGTGGGTAATGTAATTCGGTAGCATAACTTAAGCTGTACATTCCCCGAGTGATTTACAACTTATAATGGCTCGGATAGTAGTTAGACACAATTCATCATCAGGTACAAAGAATTCTCAAACAAGACTGTTAATATAAAAAAAAAATAGTACCTGATGATGACAAAACCTTGTCGAAACGTTGTACATTTGCTGCTATAAAGACTAAACAAGTACAAGAGGTCACGTGGTCGGTCAAATTGACCAAGCCCATATTGAGAGAGTTAAGTAGAAATTTGCTCCTGTTAAAATTATACAAGCAAAATGCGGAGGAAAAATCCAACTTGTGGTTAGAATACTCTAGTTTGTACTTTGTACTTTTAGTTTATACATAATTGCTGACAACAGAGGCATTGATCCTTCCTTAATTAGTGCTATATGCTGATAGTTAACTAGCTCACTGATGTTCACAAGGACTGCTGTGCAAATAGGATTTCTTCAAAAATGCCAAAATACAAGATTCATCCAAAGAGGAACATATGAATTGTTACATCTTTCTTAGATTTCAACCGAGGAGACAGTCATTTTAAGAAAAAGGCTAACCAAAAGCAAAAAAAGTCAGTAGATTTTTATGAACAATAATGAAAAACTGATTGTGCATTACTAGTTTGGATAAAAAATATCAAGCTGAACTTAAGAAAGTGAAATGAAGAAAACAAATTAAAGAAGAGAAAGAAAATTGTAATTAATGTTAGAACAGAAAATTCAGTGTTTGATTCACTTAAACAAAATAACAAAAACATCAAACGTTAAACAAGAGAAACTCTCTGCAGTTGTGAAAAACAATGTTGAACTTTCAACATTGTGCACTGTACATTTTACCTAAAGGTATAAAGTTTTCCTTCACAACTAAATTATCAGAAGACACAAAACTTCACATAATATCTAATCTGCAAAAGTGTATTCACTCATTTAGGTGATCTGCCTTTATAGTTTATAAAACCACAAATACTTACCTCAGCAACAGCATACAAGAGACTATTGAGACATGATCTTCCACCAGTATTTCCTAAACACACCATTGGTTTACATATAAATGTCTATTTGACATTCTTAAAACACAACCACTTGGGGTTTCTGATCATTTTGAAAGTGGTATTGCTCATCTAAAATATTAATTTATAAACATAACCACAAGAATCAGAAGCTATGCTGATAAATTCAATATTACATCAGAATAAAGTGCTCTTTGGATATTTATACAAAATAAAGAACTTATAACCAGAACTTTGGATAAAAGAAAATACATTGCTATTATGATACATGTCCCTACAGAAACAAAGCTATAAGTATTTTAAATGACACCAACACATACGCATCATTATCAATAAACCTAGTTCTTGACAGTGAAATGAAAACAAAACTGATTTATTGAACTAGAACGTAATGGCCAAATACTCAAAATGTTATTGGTAGCATTGAAATCAAATCATAGCAGGACAGTGTAGTTCTACAATTTCACCAAATATCACGAGGAAGGTAAGTCACTCTGACCAGTAGTGTGTACTTGTGGATCAGCAACAAAGCACTTCTAAGGCTAATTGGAAAAATAATTAATCTGTTATTATCTTTTGTTCTGGTTTAGAATAGTTGAAATATGTTCCACTCCAGCAAAACTCTTGTATTCAGCCAAGTTTCTCTATAACCTTCAATAATTATTTAATACAGGTTATCAAGCATAATGAACACCACAGAACAACATCAAATGGACCTAAATTCTTTTGACATTCCTTGGAAACGTTTAGTGGTTGCTGTAGACTTTATGTATAGTTTATGAAACTATGCACTAGCTTCATGGTCCCAAACTGAAAATAAAAGGCTTGGTTTATAGTTGAGATATATTGATGATGTATTTGAATTTGGCCTTTTAAACATTGATAAAAAAAAAGGAAAAATAAAACAACAACTTGTTCTACAATTTATGAATGGTAGTTTTTTTATTTTATAGTGTAGTATATCTAAGATATTCCAGTCAGCCTTTACTAGTGTTAGTGTATTTTTCGTGAATGACCATTCTGTTACAAAGTGTGTAATTTGTCATAAACATTTTTGAATTAAACTAAGCTGTAACTATAATGTTTCTGTAAAGTTTAAAACATACAGATTTTATACTAAACCTGTTTATTATTTATTTCATCAGGTTTTGACATTTAAGTTTGCTTTTCAAAGTTTATTTCATAAAATAAATAATTTTTTTAACCTTCATAAAAATGAACAATTTTGACGTCAGGAAACGTTAACATTTTGTGTACCGTCTTTTTGATTTCTCGCAAAACCTAAGACTTACGTTTTTGATGCAAGTGAGCTGTTTATCTTAGAACTAAAATGAGTGTTCCCTTATTTCCTGTCACTATAATTAAATAGTGGAGGTATTGCATAAGGCTTGAAAACCTGGGGGAGCTAACAATCCAGCTACGAGAGAGACACTGGAGAATATTTAGCCTGTCGGGAACTTTGGAAACTGTTCGAGGACGAGGTGTTATTGGACAAGTGAGTGAAGGAAACATTTGTGTATATGCTTAAAAACCAGTAAAACAATATACATCTGAAAATATGATTAAAGTTTTGTCATGTAGATTAATTGTAATGGTTAATTTCTCACTTTTTTTTTAGGCATTAAAATTATTTGCATTAATTTTGTAAAGCAAGCTTTATTTTTGTTGCCAGACATGAATTCTGATGAACTTAAATATGCTGATATTAGGGTCTTGGGTGCTGCTGCTTTACAAAAGGATTTAAATCATTTAATGAGTTGGGTGAATAAATGGCAGATGGGTTTTTTATGATAATAAATGTAAGGTGATGCATGTGGATTATCATAATTTGAATTATAAGTATAATTTGGATGGTGTAGTGTTTGATCAGTCTCTTAAGCCATCCATGCAGTGTGTAGTTTCTAGTGGTAGGACAAATAGGATTTTGGATTGTATCTACAGAACTATTGAATACAAGTCTCAAGTGTTTTAGTTTTGTTTAAATTATCATTATTGCAGCACTATATTTTAGTCATTTATTTAGGGATGGTGTAATTCTTTTATTCTGATTTAGATACTGAAGATGGAATCTGTAGAATTTTGAAACATCTATCTGTGTCATCTTTTGTTATAAATAAACAATGTTGTTTATCTTAAGTATCATTATCCTTTTTATTGTGAAACTTCATTTTCCTCTGAACAAATTGATTGCTAAAGTATAAAGAGGTTATAATTTTATTGTATAGGTCACTAATTAGGCCATATTTAGAGTATTGTGTCCAGTCTTGGGTTCCTTACCTTAGCAAGGACATTGAATTGTTGGAAAGGGTTCAGAGGAGGGCTATTAGGATGGAAAGGATGACATATGAGGAGAGATTAAGATATCTGAAATTGTTTTCTAATTGAGGTGTTTAAGATTGTTGTTAAGGGAATTGATAGTTTTTATGCATCACCTTTTTTTCATACTTAATGGTGAGAATGGTAGGACTAG